CGTCCCCCAAGTCTGAACCCTGCTCTATCGCGTGTGGCACACAAAGCAGCTTCTGTTGGTATGACGACTTGTACGGCTCGTCGCGTTCGGTATTGAATTGATTGGACCTTGGTGCAGTTGCCGCGCACGTGACGCCGCTCACAATGCAGTGTCGCGGCATCGTGGATCTCCCAGCACCATCGTCATGTGAGCAAGTTTTATATTGCAGAATGGATCCATTTTAGGAGTTGACAGTGCTGCAGTTCTTGGATGAGCTGCGTGCAGATAAAGGTGATCAGTTCCTGAGTGATGTAGCTTCCCATCTTGTAGACGGCTGGATCAAAGAAATTGACAGTGCTGTCACTATATGGACGGAGGTATTTAATTTCAAAACACTTTATTGAATTTTGGTGATTTCTCCTCCACTACCCTACTCTCAGAAATTTGGATAGCATTTTGTCTCATCTGACTTTGTACAAATTTTCAAATTTTCTCAACAGCATAGATTCGACTAGAAATCCTTTCGAGATAGTCTGGCCTTCTAAACAAACATTTGTGCCATCAACACCTACAGGCGGTGACGCCACGGCGGTTGGCGCTGTCGCTTGTAAGGGCTTGTTCGTATACAGCGATATACAGCGCCGTTCTTGGGAATCGCGAAATCGGTGCAGTTTTTTCTTTGCTGCGGATGCTGAGGCGTGCCATGGGGTTATGTTTCGCCAGCCCTTCTTCCCCACTCAACAACTGGTGGAGAGGGTGCTCGCGCCTCGCCAAAGCCAGCATCCTGAAACGCTTCAGTATCCGCAGCGGACAAGATCCCATGGAAAATACTAGATGCGAACTGATTTCGCTATATTTCCACTTGGCCCTAGTCGACGGGGTCGGTTCGTATCTAATTTTGAGAAATTTTTTGACAAGTCTGGGTGCTCATAGGGCCGGTACCAGACATTTCAGTACCTAACATATAGTCTTGTTCGCTGTGGGCGCTAGGGCGCTTCAAAGGGCTTTGGCGTGGCGCTGGGTTTTCTGCACCAGGTGTTGGAAGTGGCAGGCAACCGTAGTTGGTAGGCAGTAGGTTGGCGCCACGCCAAAGCAAGACCCTTTGAAACGCCCAGCTCTCGCAGCGAACAAGATTGTATGTGCTAAAAGTGATACTCGTATTCATGCGGTCAGATCACGCCTGAGGTCCGGCCAAGTCGAGTTTTTTTCAGAGTAGGGGTCGTAGAGGATAGAGAGTTATGTTTTTTGCACAATATTCCTGTTCCGCTTCACGGCTGTACGTGTTCCCTTTCTTTACTTTCAATTACTGAACTTTTGCATTTGTTTTGCATTTTAAAAGCTGATTCAATAGGTGTCTGTTGCTCAACGCAAACGACTCGTAGCATCTGCTAGTAGTGTGATTTTGCGCTTCTTGAACAAGGACCCTCATTACATGGAACTCTACCAGCAGCTGAGCTCGATCGAGATTCTACAGGTAATTAATTTCTCTTCACATGCTTTTTTCTATTGAGTGTTGAGCGTCTTTCGCGTTTAGGACCGCTACAATATGTATGTCACCACCCCGCAACTTGACATGAAGGAATGGCGAGAAGCAACTCTGAAGAACTTTATCGAACGTGAAGAACGTTCACTGCTAGACGTTTGTTTGTTGATTGTAGCTATCAGATGAGAACGAGAATGATGATGAGTTCTGCAGGTGTTCGCCTTTTCAAGAACTCTCGGAATGTCAAGAGATGAAGCCAGCAGATTAGCTATCAAATTGGCAATTGATTCTGGGAATACTATGGGAGCTCTTACTATCATAAGGTCAGTTTGGAACTATTTTTTCCTGAGTTTCGGTCAGGAGATCCGTGTTTTGGCGGAGTTGCGAGAGGACGTTGCAAGTGGCGTCTAATGACTGGCACCAGTAGGAAGCGCAGCAAAGATAACGCGCGCATGTCGACTCACAGGTCATATCTGAAAGCAAAGAAGGGGCGTTTCCAAGTATGTAGTTGAGAGTGTTGCGGCGACTGCAACGGTTCAATTACCTGCTTGGAGACGCGCCTTTTCGCTATTTATGTCCCTGGCTTGCAACCAGTTTTTTTTGCCTACGGTAATGCTTCAGATTACAGAAGATCTTTCTGTTGTGCCAACAACTTTGGAACATTGAAAAACTTTCTTTTTTATTCGCTCCACTAACATAAATTAATAATAATAATAATGGTGGTAATAATAATAATAATAATAATAAT